CCTACTTTAACCCTGAGTATTTGGCCATTTCCTCTTCCTCCTGCGTCTTGCTTGGACACAAGTTGGTGGCAGGACCAACTCTGGCTGCCTTACAAAGTTTTTCACAGTGGACCTAAGTTTTATGGACTTTTGCTGCAAACCAACAAATCAAGTTTTATCTAAGTACTGAACACTGTTCTTGTAAACTTATACAAGTACATCCTTCTTTAAATCTCTGGATATTTGAATAATACACTTTGTTCTTATTAAGACAACACTCCATATAATTTTATTTTGTAGAATAACAAGTTGCAAACATTTAAAACCAAGAGAACATAAAAACCTGTTACAAACCCAAACTAAAACAATAAAACAGTATTTGCATTTGCTCAATAGATTAATTTCAATATTATCTTCAGTAAAAAGCTTACTCCATTAAATCTGACTATTTCAGCATTCATTATCGTTTCTATAGTGTATTAAAGAATTCTAAGTCACTTTAACAAACATTCTAATTAATACATCCAGTAAAACAAAGAGTTTCTGCGAGGGAGTAGGTATTAGTTTCCATTACATGAATGCACATGGACAATATTATATAGAAAAAAGTCAAACCATTTAACATGTGTGAACAGATTTGCACTGCAATTAAACTGAACACAAACAATTTAAAGTGATTTCTGAAATTATAGGCTGTGCTAACACAAAGGCACATTTTATTTTAACTGTAAATTCACATTTCTAGAATGTAAAAGTTTTGTGCCCAGGCAACTTCAAGTCATTGTGGCACAATCAGTCAAACAACTCTAACTGCGTGCATCGGAACTTTAAATAGAGGCATCTCATTTCTATTTCTTTAATCCAGTTTTAATAAGGTACAAATTAAATTATGCAGGAGGGAGAGCCCTCCTGTTTCTTTACAGACTGCAAACTATACTGCTTTCTCACCAGAAATTCTAGTTTTCCTGTCAAACTTTGTTAAGCTTCGTAACTATCAGCACCCTCACAGTCTGGTCAAAGGCACCACAAACACACAGTCCCTTTTTGTCAGGGCTCCAGTCGAGGCTGGAAATGGGCTGCGTTGACAGAGTCACATTCTGCAAGAGACTGACAGAACCCGCCACCCCCATCTCGGCTCCTTCAGAATCCTTCTTTGAGCGCTGAGCTGGGTACTCGCTGGCAACAAGTAAAACAAAAACCACACGCTTAGAATTTGCTGATACAAACACATTGTTACTCTCTATTTTCAAAAGAAGGGGTTGTCCTATAGATAAAGCAAATAAATGTCTTTAAAATAATGAATAACCATATCCAGCTATATCCACACCACATACTTAGTAAATATTTCCTGAAAGAAAAAACGAGGCAGGAAGATTTGAATCCTGACACCTCTCTCCTATGGCCCTTCATTTTAATAGTTTGGCTTTTGCCACAGGCAAGAAAATTTCCTCTCAGCTATCCCTCTAATGCACCTACTTCACTGCATTTAGGATGATTAAATTATATTGCCATCTAATGTAAGAAGATGTAAACATAAGAATCATTAGAAGTCCAGGCTTTCAATATTCTTCTCAGACATAACTGCTACCATATGAGAATTTTAAGAAATCTGTTTTCTTCCATTTATCACCTTGTTAACCGAGAATATAATTATCTTGATTATGTTAAAAAAAAACCTAGCAAGGGCGACTTTCACCTGTGCTGTTGTCACATTCTTTTAGGAATTAATTCAAGATTCCAGATCAAGTACTGACACTGAAATCCCCCTTTCTACTGCATTTGTAAGCAGTAATTTTAACTAGATATTCTGAAGTCGGAAGCATGACCTCACTCATCACTGTCAGGAAGATTCTTTCTTAAAACATTGAATGGTTGGTTTCTTATTCCCCCTGTTGCAGGTGAGTGATCACTTACTATTTCCAGAGATGAAGGCTCCCAGATCCTCCACTCGTCATAAATATATCTCTGTTCTGTGGCAGGTGCCGACCCTGCCATATGGTAGATTTTTGCACCTAATAAAATAAAATAAAAAAAAAAGCATTGTATAGAAGTCAGTTACAGAGGAGCTTCACAAGAAAGGACACAGAATCTTAAACCAGCAGTCACTTGTATGAAGAGAACGCAGCCTGCTCCCGGTGGACAGCGGAACATCCATTCCAAGGTACCTTCCCTTCCTCGGGCCTTGTGAGCTGCTGCCGCAGGAGCAGCCGGTCCCCACCGGAGAAGAAGGAGAAGAAGGAAAGTCAGGCTTCCAAGGCACCCCACTCTTCCCCAGGGAGAGTAAGGCTGCAGCCCTGCCACGGCTCACGAGTCCTTCAGCTTCTTTGGGACTGGCCATGGGAACAAGGTTAGAAAGAGGTAAAGCAAAGCGGCTGCTTCACGTCTTTTGGAACTACAGGACTCCCACGCTCTTAGGTGACACAGTCACCACCAGGTTAATTTAACTTCACTGTCTGACATCTCTTAAAATCATTACTGGAATGGAATATACTACAAACACTGCGCAAACACAACAAACAATCTACAAATTTAAATCTCAGCCAGGGCGCAGCAAGATCACAGAGCAACAGAAATCGCCTAGGGAAAAGCCCCAACAAACATACTCTGACTTAATGCAAACGTGCAAAAGGAAAAGCTTAACTGCAGTGAATGAACGATAAAAAATTCCATTTTCACATTCTGATTATTATAAACACTAATTCAGTAAATACTTTTGTGTTATCCAGTCAAACTCCTTCCAACACCTTATTTGCTTTGAATGATGGTATCAAAAATATTGAAGTTATTAAGTTGAAACTCAGCATTTTCTAATTTAGGCAATTCTGGAGAACTTCACCACAAAAGTTCCTTTTCTCTAATTATCATCATATTTTGTTCATCAAAAAAATAATTTAATATTGTTTTATAAAGAACTTAAACTAAACAATGCACAGTCACAGATGGAAGAAAAAAGGTTCTAAGAATCCTCTGTATTTAATAACCTCAAGGCTACTACATCTTTCCTATATATCCTTTCATTCACTTTCAAAATCCCAATCTGAAAATATTTGATGCTGAAGTAAAAATAATAAAATTATTTCTCTATCCCACATGAGGTCTAGTGACTGCAGGACAAAAAACATTTGCAGAGGGCTCACTTGGTTTTGGGATATATTTAAGGTTTGAATCTGCGCGCTCATCACAATTTAATCTGGCCTCCAGCAAACACGACTCCCAGGCTGAGGGCGCAGCTGAATGCACAGAGCTGCAGCGGCAACGGAACCTGAAGACCAGAGAAGCCCAAATGCCTGGTGACAGAAGGGAGGAAACCTGGGCGAGCGCTGGCAGCAGGACACCCGGGAGCCCTTCCGCTGCTTGCACCCGAGGCCACCAGCCACGCCGAGGCACAGCTCGTGCCCCAGTAACCCAGGCATCTACTGCCTATCAAAGACAACAGTTTTAAACCTGTAAAACTTTGACAGCATACGTTAAGAAAGTTTGTCTCTTACTAAGAAATTTTCTGTCTCCCCGTACCTTCTCTGAAACAGAAGCAAAACCTTTGGTTGGATGCTGAGTTCTCATATCGAAAACATGAAATTTTCCCTCCAGTGATGTGGCCACTAGCTTGTTCATATTTACATCTTTCCTATCAAATTCCACGCTGCAAACCTGGAAATACAAGAAGAATACATTCAGCCTTGAAATACAGTCACAATATAGTCATACGTGAAATACAGACACTGCTAAAAAAATGGGAGCTTTGTGATTTGTAATATACATTTAATCTTTGGTCATTTTTATAGTAATGACAACGCCAGTTTGGAAATAACAAAATCATCTGAAAATATGAATCCACTGAAAAATACCCTATGCTATCCAGACCAAGAATTTGTGGGGTACAATTTGCTGAAATTAAAGAACATGATCCCTTGCTACAATCCCAGCAGAAGTGTCTTCCGGGTAAATTTCAGATGGAAGGAGTCCTTATAATTTTTCCATCCTGCACAGAGGCTGGAATGAAAAACACTTGTATGGTTTCCTTACCCCATTCTTAATGCTGGTCTCCCATCGTAGTGACATGGTTTTCAAGTCAAACAATTTAATGTCCCCGTTGTCATACCCAGCACAAACAACACGTTCCTCTTGATTGTAAGCATTGCCTGGACACAGAGAAAGAATTCATCAGGATACTGGAACCCTCTTTAGTCTGTAAATATCAGACCTCCTAGGCCTGAAATTTCAAGTTATATTTATACCAGAAAAATATTACTATTAGGATATTAAGATGGAATGAACCAGCTGGTTTTCAAACCTGAAGGGTACAGAAAAATACAGCTTCAAAACTGACAGTCTGTTTCTTTTAAAAATAAGATCAAATATTATTATTCTCCCTGACAAGTACTGCCTAAACCGCACGCTGTTCTTGCAAACCTACACAAATACATTCCTTCTCTTAAATCTTCACCTGCTCCAAACCGCGCTCCCCACAGAGCACCACGGCACAAAGCAGTTCAGCTGTTCCTCAACGAGCCTCTCAAGCACAGTATGTGTCCTGCTGCCAAGGGGATGAGAAGACTTTTCTGCAGGCCCTGAGCGTTACCACAGCCCTCACTAGACACACGCAGCAACCTGCCTCCAAAAACTCTCAGCTGACAGGATCAAGGAAGCACATCAGCACCTGCAAGGAGTTAGCCCAGAGCACGTAGTTCAAAACGAACTTGGCCTTGGCTCAAGCTCAAAACAAAGCTGAAGAAAACATAAAGCCACTTTTGACTCTGCTCATTACAGCACAAGACAAAAATATCAGCAGCAATGAGCATTATCGTTGCACCTTCTTGCCAGGAAATATCATCTCCTTACTATCAATTTTGTTACTATAACCCATGCATTTACTAGCAGTTAGTAAAACTTACTCCCTGACTCTGGAGGCAAAAATGGAGCTAATCCAGAAATACCAGCTTGCGCAGAACACAAGCAGCTTGTTCTCCCCATGCAGAGCACCCATCAACCATGGCTGTTGTCTTTAATTAGCTCTTAGCTTCAAGGATCTTCTCTTAAATTAATGCCTTAATGCTTGATAGTTGGAACTACACAACAGTTCGCTGTACACTGCAATATTTACACTCCTTCAGCAGTATATCAGTTAGATACACTGCTTTTACATTCCTAGGCATAGGAATAAAGCTTGCACAGTTTATCTGTGAAATCGTAAAATCATTTAGGTTGGAAAAGACCTTTAAGACCATCAAGTCCAACAAACAATCAGCAAAGGTGATAAGAGAATGAGTCCAAAATCCAACTATCACACAATTGTCTTCTGAGAAAAAACAGTAAAAAAAAAAAAAAATTTTGCCACACTGAAAAGCAAAACCTGCTACTTATGCATCCATACAAAATAAACTATTCTGTAACATCCCGAAATACTTTGATAATTGTCAAAGCACAGTCATATTAGAGGGAGGAATGGTCATAATCTGATAAATTACCAAACGCTACTGTCCAGCAGTCTCTTTTGCTCTCGCCCTGGACAGGTTCCATGTTAGCGACAGGAGTATCCTTCTGTCTTGGGTCCCACACCTTCACAGTTCCTGTGAAAGAAGGACAACGGATTTTGTGTTGTGGGTTCACTGTCACGTTGCATTCACCTTCCCAGGGAAGGACTTGGCTTTTCAGCCTGATCATTCAAAACATAGGAGCATCTTTTTAATTCCAGAAAAGACTGCATTTAGGGCCCAGAAAAGAAAACAACCCAGAAATAAAGCAGAGGTATTTATTAAGGATCTATTTTCTCTAGCTAGTATTTTGCATTTATTTTGCTTTTTATTCCTTCTATCCCCTGCTCAGTGGCAACAGTATCTTTTGCTTATCTGCAGCTTCCAAAAGAAGTAGAGAAAACTTGTCCCAAGCAAGATTCAAAAGCGAGCACGTGAAGAACTAGTTGCAACAGCTGCGTGTAACTAGTTCAGATGGCAGACTGCACCCTGCCATCACAGCTTGCACGCTCCTTTCTCAGAGTAACTGAAAAGACTTTCAGAGTTCACTAACTCACCATCTCGACTGCCAGTCACAATTTCTGGTGCACCTTCCCCAATTCCTAAGCCACCTACACCATCTATACTGTTTATGATCTCCTTATGACCTTTCACAGAATACACTGGTATTTCAGGAGCTTCTAAATTCCTAGGCAAGAAAGAAAAAGAACAGATAATACTCAGAATTTGTATGAAAATGAAAGGAAACTTGAGCACAAATTATATAAAGTAAGATTAACAGCGGGAACGAAACACAGATCTCACAGTAAGAACCACAAGTCTTTGAATGGTTCTTTCGCTGCTGCTTTAGATTGGTCTAGAAGTTTTTTCTCAGCTCTGGACTTCCTTGTTTATAAAGGCAGTTGTGGGACTCACCACAGCAACTTTTAAGAACTGATTTTTATGTTGGACTCAAATCACACTAGAGATCAAAATACCCTGATTAACTTGGCTTTTAAGTAAGTATATAAAGTCACCTCATTCAGTGATCACCACCTGGCTCTAACTACTGCCCTGCAACGCCAAATGAAAGCTGCATCCAGCTGTGCCGTGCGTTTCACAGCGCTCTCTCACTGACTCTCATTCTTTGAGAATCCTTCAGAGATTTACTTTAAATTTCAACTAGTGACTAATCCATGTCATTCTTGCTACTCCACAAAATAAACCCAACAGCTCCTTGGCAAGGGAAATGATATAATAATAACAGCAATAGTAATACTACAATCCCTTTTTGATCCTACAACTTTGATAATCAATTCACCTACACAAATTAATTACACAAATCATTCAGGGACCTGAAAAAGCATTTGAAACTTCGAGATTTAAAACATGTATTCAATCTAGGCACCAAATTTAGGTTTAATGCTTGCATCTGCTCAAAACTCTCTTTTCAGAAGAGGACCTAGCAGAACTTTAACAGGTTTTTGTAGCTGCACACAGGAGATGCAGCTGAAGCAGTGTCAGATTAAATCGCTGTGCAGAACTCCTGCTGTTTTTAAAAAACAGGCAAGGTCCAAATGCGTTGCATGTACAGTAGCCAGCAAAGCTCACGTCACGACTGGGTCCCATCCCAACCACATGCAGCTCTGGGGGCATTTTACACAAAAGCCCCCCCACACCCCGAAACAGCGGTTCCACGGCCACGTACATCAGATGGAAAAGCTTCGAGCGAACCCGCGCACTTACCATATGTTCAGGTTTCCACCAAAATCTCCTGTAGCTAAGTATCTTTGCTGCAGAGACGTAGCACCAAAAGTTCCACATTTTATAGGTTTAGCCTTTTCAATCTTTAAAAAAAAAAGGATAAATTTTTGTGTCAGCAAATAGGAAAAAAAGCCACAACCGCAGACTGAGGCAGCAGCTTCCCGAGCACCCGCGGGCGGCAGGTTTAAGTACACAGCAAACAGGACATCTGACACAAAACACAATCGAAACGCTACTTTATTTCTTTGAGACACTTTATTTTTTGGTCTGCATGGGAAAAAAAACCCTAAAA